CGGCCCCCCTCCACCTGGGCCGAGACTAGACGACTCCATATTAGTATCCTGCTCTGTTCTCAAATACCATTTTGCTTCTCATCTTGCCCGGCCGTCGCCCATCACTCATCGCCCGCGTCATTTTGCCCCTTCGCGGTGCCACGCAGCGCGGCGCCTCACCAACCAGACCCATCGAGTGAATCTGTCCTGACGAGGATTGACCAAGAAATTTCGGAGGCACGCTTCACGGACTCTCTGAGCAATTGGGCTGCGGCTGGTACGTGCATTCCAGCGTTGGCTCCGCGCGTTTTGGTCTTTGCGTCTTTGGCCTCCACGCTTTTTATTGCTTCTTGAATATTCGGCCATTCGAGCACACATTGGCCCCTCCCCTTACCCTTATCCTTGTCAGCCACCTCTTGTCCACAGGACCGTGTCACTCTAACTCATGTTCCAGATTCATTATTTGCTCCAACGCCACGCGAACCAGTCCGGCAAACATTTCGCGAAGCTACACATCGCACCTAAGAAGAGAGCCTGAGCCTTCAGTTTATTGGCGGCACGTCCGCCCAGCAGCACAATTGTTTGTTGCAGAAAAGGGAAGGAAAAAAGGAAGAAGAAAAAGTTGCCGTTGGTCTTTGCTCGACTACCGGGCAGAGTCGATATCTAGATGTCATGGAGAGCTCTTCAACCCCCCTGGCAGATTACTTCTGGATTGCTGGTGTAGAGTCAGTATCGTACGACGACCCTGCTGCCACCAACACCTTCACCAACAGTCTTCCGGTCGAGTCAACCATTGCAGAAGATGGAGAGCCTGACGACACTGCCACGAATGGGTACAAACCGACCACTGCCCGTCATTCGCGCCAAAATTCTGCCAGCCGCCTTTCCAAAATCTCAGTCGACGGGCGGTACTCGATAGCTAGCACTCTCGATGAGCTCGACGGCAACACTCGCAGTAATAGGAGCAGTGCTACCATAAAACCTGTCAAGCCCGCGGGTCTCAATGGGAATGCCGCCGCTATGAATGGAATTTCTCCCGAGGTTCTGATTCAAGGCCCAACCCCAGGCCCTGGGCTTATGGGCATGCCTGACTTCGACTTCGACAAGGCGCTTCTTAAATTTGCCGCTGAGAGAGAAAACTTCCTCGAGGACCTCTCCTTTACTGCGGGAGCCAAGTTGCAATCACGTCCGCCAATGATAAACCCACGAGCCGAGAGGATTCGCGCCGATGAAGGTCTCCCAAGCGGCAGGATGAGCCCGCTGAGGAGTCTCAAAGGCAGTATTCGACGCAAGATCAGTTTTAGGGAGATGAATAGCGTGCGCAAGGGACCTACGGTTGTTAGACAAGGTGCTTCTAGCAGAGCTGGTAAGAGATTCCATCCTCCCACGCAACAGTTTGTGTTTTGTGTCTGGGTTTTTTTCAAAACCCACGACTATGCTGCGGGTTCCCGGCTAACTCTTTTTTTTCTCTTTCTTTCCGCAGCGTCGGTTCGCACCACAAAACGACTGAGCAACTACAACTCCGTAATCCCTCCACCAGAGCCACTGAATACCGATCCTGATATGCACCCATTGAAGCGGCGATTCGAACCCGTTTTATTAGATCGATACCCACCAAAGAACGCCAATGATGAGCTTGCCAAACGTGGAAAGTTCCCGGACTACGTACCCATGTTCGCCTTTCCCAATGATATCCAAATCGTATCCTCCGATGATCGACCCCGTTCCACGTGGCACGGCTTTACCATGACAGGAGAAGACAATGCCAAGCTGTATGGCATAACCGTTATTATATGGACGGCATTGACAGCAGAGAGAGCAGAGGAAGTGGAAAGAAGATGTGAGCAGTGGCGGCAGAACCACATGTCCAACGAGGAGAGAGAGCTGGCCGCGAGCTTGGGGGTTCGATTGGCGGGTGAACGATCACACCTCTCACAGCTTCTTTCAAAGCTCCCCACGATACCATCTGGATCGCCGGCCCGGGACAGACTGGAAGATGAGATAAGCACAGTCGAGGAAAAGATTGCTCTCATGACGGATATGCTACGGCCGCTACGGCACGGTGCGGCTTCAAAAATCGAAGGGCTTACGGCGGGCGAGAGCGGTCTGTGGATTCCTCGAGCATACGGTGTTCTTGGTAGGGATGCGGCCTGCATGGGCTTCTGGAAAGAGTGGCTTAGGTCAATCGTCGTTCCCATGACTGATGGGGGTGTTCTCCGAGTGCCCCCCAGCTCCCCCAAAGTCGGACGTTGGCAGCCTCTGGAGCGTTACGTGGTTAACCTTTGTACAGAAGCCTTCAGTCCCTTGGGATCGAAAACGCAAGTGGAACTTGGTGTTAGAGAACTGCGGCTCTACGCACGAAAAGAGGGAGCCAACGAGCTCCCTGGTTGCCGGACGATTGACCTATATGCGCTGTTCCGGTGTCTTTCTCTCGAAAATGTCGTTGCATTGTTCGAGTACGCCATGTCCGAATCTCGCATCATCTTCCTATCTTCCCACACGAGCATGTTGCATCTGGCCTGCCATGCTCTAGTGAACCTCCTTTACCCTCTCCAGTGGGCTAGCATCTTCATCCCCGTCCTTCCAGCTAGACTCATCTCCGCTCTCGAAGCCCCTTGCCCCTATATTGTCGGTGTTGAACGTCGGTATGAACGGATCGACCTGCCAGATGACGACTATGTTCTTGTTGACCTGGACAAGGACACGATTGATGCCACCTCGCAACCTCACCGCCTACCCAGGCAACATCGACGAAAGTTGATGTCTCTGCTGCAGGTTGCCGCTCCTCACACTCTTCGATACGGCGTCGCTACCGGACCTCCGCCGTACGCTATTGAATCCTTCCCCTACGACTCCTTTTCTTCAGAGAATGGCTCAGTGTTCACATCCACGGCGGAACCAACAACCTTGGGCAAGTGGGTGTCACAGAATTCGTCAAGCTTTGCAGACCGAACACCTCCCGAAGACGTCCACCCGCCAGTATTCAATGCGTTTACCGTTTCGTCAGTCGACACCGGAAAGCTTGACCATCGACCCAGTACGAGCAAATCCTCCAAGACAAGCCCGCAGTCCTCCGTATCTCCTGCATCTGCCAATTTCCCTCCCATGCCGACTACTCCTATTTCTCGCAGCGATTCTGGCTTTGCCCTGACCGCTACACTGCGAGAGAAGAGGTCTGGGCACTTTGGAGAGGAAAAGGGCCGTCGAAGCTCATCTTTCGGATTGGATAAGTTCCAGCCCATGCACAAACCGAGCCTGCCGCTACTCAACGGTCATCAACCCAATGCCTCCATCTCAGGCTTCTCTGTTGTTTCGGAATCATCATTTGGAGGGGGGTACGCGCCGTCTGCCTACGCCCAGTCCACCCTCGCCGCCTCCACCATCATGCCCTGCATGCAAATCCAACCGGTGCGAAACACCGAGACAACTGTCTGGGTCGAGGGTCATTGCTTCAGTCTCAACACCAAAGATTCTTCCTCCTCTTGCACTATTTGCGATGACAAGTCGGAGGGCGATGGCTTCTACGAATGCACTTCCTGCAAAACTGTAGCCCACGGCCGATGCTTGGGACAAGTGTCACTTGTCTGTCCGGAAGCCTTCCACCCGGATCGAGTAAGAGCGGCATTTGTACGATGCCTAGCCAGTTTGCTGTACACCTACCGCAAACACCTCGGCCGTCCGAACAAGCAGCAAAAGTCCAACGGGCAATTATACGCCTTTGACATGGATGGATTCATAAGGAGCCTGCCGTACGATCAACAAGAGTACGCCACCATGATGCGCGACACTCAAGGTAAATACACCCCTACTTTCTTCATTCACCACACAACAACATGGCCACTGACACACGAAAGCCTTCAACGAATTCATCCACAGCCGCGAAACCACCCCGGCAACCGACCCCTCCATACGGCTCTTCGACGAGATCCTCATGGCCAAGAAGGCCCGCGGCCGCCCGGGCCTCTCATCTGGCCTCTCACGACTTTCCACCATTCGCCAATCCCACGGCGCATCCGTGTCTGCGTTCGGCCTCGCTGCCGCGTCCCGCACATCCTCCAGCAAGGCGCCCTCCTACCTCACCAACACATCCGACCACATCTGGCGCACCGCCTCGGTCCCCTTGCCAAAGGGCAACTTCCCCGGCGAATACCGCTCCGTCATCACACGCATCCCGTCCTGCCTCGACAGGACGCTGATGCGCGAGCCCCGGGCTATCCAGGGCGTCCCGAGGATGGAGCAGCGCGGCACGAGAGCCTTTGTGCGGAAACAAGTTCCCAGCATGCTGGGTACTACGCCTCCATCATGAGCAATTTTTGCTCGAAACCTTTATTTCTTTTCCCCCTCTTCTTTTGCACGTTTAGCTTGTGCGTGAGGCACTGTGCCATCCATTCATGTCACGACTCACGAGTGGGGGAAAAACAAACAACATTGCAATGTGTACATTAATTTTACCCTTCCTGTACTGTACTTTATTTAAACATCGCCTGACGGAATACGCTAAAGGGACATATACAAAACAAGTGTTTTGATACCTGACCTAGAATTGACTGGACGGGTTTAAATGGTAAAAAAGGGACGAGGGGTTTTAGGCAAAAGGATTATACACGCGTGGAGCTGGCATTGCATCGAGTCTGATTTACCGCCGTCTGTTTCGTTGACGTTTTGTACTTGGTTAATGTTGCGTCGTGGATGGATCATTATCAGCTGGTGATACTTTCGAGGTGAAGCCATGACGGGAGCGTGCTTGACTATTAGAGCATCAATCAAATCATCACTTCTTTTTCTGCCCATGGGATGGAACGTACATCTAGCCGCTTTCTGCAATATTTACTCTGACGTTTCTATGCTATACTACTCGTTGATGGAGAACATCTGCCATCTCTTCTAAAATATTGTCTCATTATGTACACCTCGTCGTGTATGTCATACGTCATCACACTCTCTTGAAATCAAACCCATTGCCTTCTCGGCCGTCATCATTCTTTAGAAAAAATAATCCCAAACGCCAGCACAACTGGAATCTATCGCCGGTACCTGCCCCTGCGAGGCGGGTTGGGCGGATTCTGTGAAGTAGTCCTTGGTATACCGCGGGGTGGATTTTCCTTGTTCAAGACCTGCACATGAAAATCTTCCCAGCCAATACTCTGGAGTATGTGATCAGTCAGAGATGAGTAACTCAAGTGTCCCTTGGGTAGCGCCTCTACACAGTGGTTTTCCACGCCATCGGCCCCCTGAATTTCCTGTAGACCAGCGATGCCAAATTGGAGGTTGCATGAACGGTACAAAAACCCAAGGATGTAATCGTTCTCGGAGTAAACGTTAACTAGTCGACCAGATACAACGCTCTTCATAGTCAGCCATACTCGACTCTCGGCCGGAAACGGTGCCCCAATCATAACGACAGAATCAACAACGCCAAACTGACGTCGCTCTGCCAACACCATTAGACAAGCATATATGGCTCGAGCTCCAAGACTATATCCGATCAAAGACACTGGCCTCTCGCCTTGAAACTTGTGCCGCATAAGAGCATCGGCAAGCATGGCGCCCGCTTTCTCCGCCCGAACCATGCCTACACTCCAGGCATTGTCCACGATTTTGCTGATTCGTAAGAGCGGCTGCGGCCAGGCGGATGTCATTAGAGTTTTGAAAACTGCGACGCCGTCAGAAATAGCTATATTACTGCATCTCAATTCATGACTTACTAGATTTGGATGCAATCTCCTTTTTAGCGCTTTCCCAAGCTGTACTCTTGATGACTGTCTCGAGCGCGCTTCCAAGATTCGTCAGAGCTGCATGTTCCCACTGGATGGCATATAGTTCTGATTGGCTATTGAGAAATTTCCAAGTTTCTGCAACATCTTTTGAGTCTGTCAAAAATCCGCTAAGGGCGACAAGAACATGAAGTCTGCGATGAGAAACTTCCAACATGGTGACGTCGTCGTAATTGTAAGGGTCCTTGCACAGTCGAACAAACGCAAAGTCTTGGATATCTCTGGCAAATGTAACCAACATCTTGCTAGGTAGTTTGGCGGGGTTGATCCCGAAAAGGGATCCCATCAGAACCGCATTTTCGGCCATGGTTCCCAGTAAACTCGCTGCTGTGATCGTTGACAACCCCAAGCCACGCTGACGCGTGCCAATGCGGACGTATTTCAATACGGCTGTGAGATTGACGGGACCTCCAAGCACCATTTTAAATTTTGGACCACCGGTTTCCTCATCAGGTTTGGCGGCATCTTCTAGTAATGCGTCGAGTGCCGCTCTCACCAGCCCCTGAGCCACTTGAGCTTCTCCCGACTGATAGGTTTCGAAAGATAGATTGAGGGATGATGTAAGCTTGAGGAGAAGAAGCCTAGAATTTGCTTTATAATCCTGTAGCGAGAGGAGGATCAATAGCGCAATATGTAGCAGGAGCTCGCGTCTGTCTGGGTGCAAGGACCACAAAGTGTTGGGAACGGGGGGGTGTCTTGCGGCTAACTTGGAGTCTTTATGACGTGTCGGGACACAATGCGGACCTTTACTTGTCAGTTCAATGGAGAAATGAAAAAAGGGAAGTACTCAGTTAAGCTTAGTGTGAGATATTATTAGACGCCGTACCTGTTGAGCCTCCTCGTCCACCACGACCGCCACGAGCAGCACGGTACACCCCACGGTCACTGCGTCCCCGACCATAAGGACCTGAAGTTTCAGCAGTCATATCGTTGACATTTATTTCTGTAAACCTCTGCAAGACGCTCGATTTCCACTTTCTGAAGAACACGAGGGTTTCTTTCTTCAGTTCCCCGAGCGGTTGGAACCTTGCGCTCTCCTCCGTCTCAACGGCGTGGTGAGACTTGGTATGCGTCGTGGAGTACGTGTCTGGAATATTTCCACGGAAAGTTTTGCCCGTCAAAGTATTCTCTTTGTTCTCGTCCTGATGGCGAAGAAGAGGGAGTGAAAGCCACTGTCCCTGTCCGTTATCTCCAAGGACTGGACGCACAGGAAGCGAGTCAAATGGGTTGCTCACATCCTTCTGCATGTTATCCGTAATAGTGTTGACAAGGGAAACGAATGCGTTTTTCTCGGCAATGGAAATTATTCCAGTCAGGTCAGCTGGTCTGCGAGCCGGTTGATGCCCACTGCCGCGGCCACGCCCCATGATGAGTATGTCAGAGTTATGAAGCGATGATACCTGAAAAGCCTTAGAAACGGCGAGAACAGCGCGGCTCTTATGTGTCGAGGGATTAGGAAAGGCAGCGAAATTCACAAACCTTGACCGTGTTTCCAAGTTCCACAAACTATGGCCTGAGAAAAGGGAGTGAATAAAGAAAAAGTCACGGACAGGAGCCAAACAAAGATGTTTAGAAGGCAAAGACGAAACAGCCTGCTTCTATAAGTGGACTCAAGAAGGACTCAAAGATGGAAGAACATGCCATTTTGCCACAGGATCTCTTACCTTTTGTTCAGATTCGATTTAAAATGTGGAAGCTGAAAGGATGGCAACACCAGCAGTTACAACAACTCCACAAGGAGAAGGAAGGAGCCGTCTGGTATTGACCTGCTACAGCGACTTAATAGTTGACAGCTGCCGCAGCTGCCGGCCAGCTGGCAGCTCTAACAGCAAGTGTCGGACCAATCATGAGCACATGGGAGAGTGTTGATGGAAGTCGATGGACTGGACTTTTGGGCGTGGTGTCACGTCGACTAGGCCGAGGGAGCCATCGGCTGTGCAGAAGGAATCCTCACCTTCTTGAAGCTCCAGTAACGGTGGTAGCTCTTCGTTCAATAGCACACCAGTGAAAAAACCGATTGCCGACATCTACAATGCTACTTGTGCACAGGATGCCTCCAGCCGTTCCGTGCACCAATATATTCCTTTGAGACGCGGGACACGGGGGTAGCTCGTCTTCTTGAACAACCTAGAAGGCGACTTGGCGGTAAACCTGTGTGCTTTGTGTTCATTGCACATACTTGTATTCATTCTTTTCGAAGATGTTGCCAATGTGATTAGATGTGTGCTTGTTATAGCAGACCAAGGCCTGTGAATAACACCCGAAATCCCCTGAATGACCACGTCTGTTTCAATGATCCCGGGCTAACTCGCTAATGAAAAGAAAACAGTCAGCGATGATACCGCGACGGCCATGCCCTCCAAGTTGCAGTTTGACGACTAGCCATTATTCTTGTCCGCTACAAGTCGTACAGGGCCTCGCCGAACGGGAGTTGTTACGGTGACCCCGTTTGCGCCCAAGGTCACGCGTATACAATCACCGTTGTTTGCTGAGTACGAAGGAAGGCTTCAATGCCATCATGACACAACCGGCAGCCGGCATTGTTCCCCGTCGGCCCTACCGCTCCATTATCAGTCTTGCCTCTTCCTATTGTTCTAGATGTCACCACCACCAGGATTGCTTCTCTCAATACGCAGCCAGTAGACCAGGCCGTCCACTACCCGAGGAACACGTGGGCATGGCAAGCAGCTTGTTTTGGATCATGACAGTCGAGAATCACCACCTCAAAGTCAAATGGACACTATTCTCCCATTTCGTGGTATCTCAAATGCGCTGGCATAGCAAAGGACGGCAAAGAATGGCCACAATCTTGACAAACAGAATTGTCTGAACCATTCCAGTCCACACCGGACCCCAAGCCTTCCGCATCACCAGTGCTAACTTCAGAAGGCGCCTCATCATCGGATAGTGGCTCCAGTTTAAACGGACGAAGCACTTCATCCTGCCTCCTGAACATGACAGAAATGTCCCGCCCTGAGCCTTGTTTGTCATCTCCTGCGCCGACCACCATGTTTGCAACACATATATTAATCAACTGCAAGTTCCACTTGTGTCCTTTAGCGGTTTCAAGCCGTCGTAGAAGGGGTAGGAGAGCTTCCGCAACTAGTTTCTGCGCTAATGCGTCTATATCAGCCGATGCGTCAAAAACTAAGCCAGGCAAGGGGCCAGATCGGGATATTCGACTGAAATTTGAAGCAGAACTGCGGCCTTGTCTCGTCGGCCATGATCTGATTGCAAGCCTCAGGGTTTTTGGCCGAGCAATCCATCGTTGTGTCCCCGGCTTCTCTGCATTGTGTTCTAGAGCAAGGAGATCTATTCTCATTCGCCGGATGAGCGAACACGAAAGTTTGTGCAGTTCTTCCGTGATTTGGGTCATGGTCTCTAGTCCTTTGTATGTATCTTCAATGCTTATTTGTGACGGAATGTCGCCGGCCTCTTTGACTTGCGTTTGATCAATACCATGCAAGAGACCCCATACCCTGACACCAACTCCCCTCTCGGCTCCAGGACCGGCGAGAAGAGTCTCTATGAACCCTGGGGATATTGATGGATGCAGACGGACATCTCGAGCGTAAACCGCCGAAGTAAATGAATGGGAGTCTGCGTCAACCTCTTCCCCAAGAACCTGAGACTCTAATTGCATAGAAGTCTTGAACCCCAGTCCTGGTATTTGCCTTGTCTTGTGGCTGTCCATGAACGCAATAACGTCTTGTTCATTCAAGGCCATTAGCGTCGTCTGATTGCGGGGTTTGTTACGGCTTCCCACCAGTTTACTAAGGAGCTTGTTGGTTGATATCCCACAAGTTGACGTATACCCATAATCTTCCTCCATCTTTGTGCGTAGATGGTTTGCGAGATGAGAACCAAGCAAGAGTCTTAGGTAGGTTTTGTTTTCTAGAGGTGCCTCGTCCGGGACGGTGCCTTCAACACAGCCCGCAATGGCCGTAAAATTACACTTGAATCCATCCTGAGGGTCTGTTTTGGATAGATGAAAGAAGGAATGTGATAAGCAACCTGCGTTGAGGCATTCAATATTGTAGTCGACGACATCGGTCACATCTGCATCAAGTTAGAAGTAATGTCCAGAAAAAGCAACAACTGCCGCTTACCCATAAACACTTCGTCAAACCCCAGCCGCTCTACCCTATTATTCCATGAATGCGACCGAAGAAAGTTGAATAGAATTTTGCTCACATCACGAAATGGCGTCAAATCCTCCCCATCCACGAGCACCAGGTCTTTGCATATCTTCTTAGCTTCGGATATCAGCATCAACTTCTTCACACCAAGCCCCCGGGCATTATAGTTGCAGGTGGCCAGAATATTTTTTTGCTTCACTCCCAGGGCTCGCGATTTGAGGGCTGGGTTCTTGTTCTCAAATACCTGGGCGTAGAAGCAGTCATAGTCCTGGGGGTGGTCAGTCACGGTGAAGGTGATGGACTCGGCGGGAGACAAACGAATTGGAGGATAACGCGGTCATGCTTCTGTCTGGGTACGCGCTTGGATTGCTGCTCCATGGGCCGAGGATTGCTTTCGTTTGATGCACCCGTGTACGCACGTCATGCAATTCTCATGATGAGCATGTGTTGGTAGTTGAGATGCGCATCGGCTCCCCGTGAACCGGCTGGCGTGAGCTAGTTGACAGCTGCGGACAGCTGCGTAGCTGACCAATGGTCGCGGAGCGTGTGGGCGTGGGAAGGAGCCGTGAGACTTTCCAAGTTCCAACCCTGCGATAGCGACTACATGGTTCACAGTGTACAAAGAATCCTAAACGGCTTATCTCACGCATGTATGGACATTTTCAGCCATCTTTTTGACCACAAGCAGTACCTCCTCGCGCCCGAATCTGGCTCAGCTCGACCAAGCGCGACAATTCGACGAATGGAAGCATCGCATCACTCGCAAAGTAGTACTACGACGGCCAAGCGCTGACAGACTAGACGCGCTCACCGCTACGCCGTGACGCTAACAATGTTCAAACCTGGAAAAGCCACTGCTAGGTCTGTCTTACGGACTCGGTCAGGATATGCTGCGTGGCGTCGTGGTCGGAGACAATAATTTGCTGCTGCTCAACTCTCAAATGTAGCCTCGCCGAGTCATCCCGTGCCAAAAAAAATTTGATCAAACAATCCAAAACAGATCCATATTCGCGTGTGACAGCATAACATAGCCCGCTGGAGCTCTTGATGTCCATATTTTTTTTTCTTTGCAGAATCGAGAGGTCATCCGGACGCTCGAGAAGGCGATGGTATCACGACGCGGCTAGGATGCAAAACAAGCGCCACGAAGAATGCATAGTCTGACGCGGACGACGACGGCTTTGGCGGCACAGATGTTTTGAGACGAGTGCTTGTCGGTGAATTTTGAACAGACTCGACTTCACCGAAGACACCGAAGGATTCAGCAGGACTATTGACGTCTTTGACCCTTTGTGCTGTGCATATGCCATGAAAATGTCGGCTGCATCTTATCAACGCCACCAATTACTCGACCCAATGGGTTGCTACCCCGCCTGCAGCTTGGGCAAGCCGACGTGATATTGGGACGACTTACTCCGTATGCATGAGATAAACGCCCGCAGGTGGAAACACGCAACCTGGGGGACCTGGATGATTGGAGGCATGGCAAGGTCCATCCCACGCATCTGCAAGGGTCGGCGCTTACACGCTGTACCAGTCACCTGGGGTTGACGACAACCAACCACGACAAACTCTGTCTGTTTGGGATGGTGCTCAACGACGAGGGGGGCACGAGGGGGACATAACCAGCAGCCGTCTGCTTCCTTCGATGCTATTTATCGCGTCTAGCCTTGATGCGAGTCGAGTGCGGCGCTTGCTGGGACAGCCCGGGCCCGAAAAGTGACCTGTCCCATGCTCGACATCGTATATAGCCACCTCACGCCGGGTTCTGGCCGCGTTGGCTCTCTGTTCATGTCTGAATCTGCTTTGACCACATGAATCTCCTTCATCATACCCCCTTGATGGGAGGCTGCCCTGCTGCGTCGTGCGGTGATTTGTAGCCTATAGGCATCAGCAAACCGTATTGGGCCCAGCCCAACACTGCAGCCACATCGGATCTTTTCTTCGGCCATCGTCGTTGGCGATACTCCCGCGGCCTGCCCTTCAACACGGACCACGTCCACCATGACTTCACAGCAACCTCCAAGCGCGTCCAGGAGACCCCGACTGTCTCTTCAAATCAAGACCACAGTATGCAGCCCTCCATCAAAAGGTCTGAGGGGCATTCCCTTGAACCCAAGTGACCCTACAACATTCAACACCATGTCCAACATCTACGTCACGGCCATTGAACGATCGTCAGCCATTCAGTCTGAGCCTGTCACCGCCATCAAAACCCTTCAAAACTTTAGTCTTCAATCTCCAATCGAAAGGAACGGACTGAAATCACGGGTCGCGACGTCCTTCGTGCCAACCTATCCTGAGACACCATTGACAGCACAACCCGTCTCCCCCCAGCAAATGGATTTTGTGTACCCGAGCACAATGACCGCCACGCCTCCTCTGTCCGCAGGCCCAGTCGACAACTCGTCCAAAGTATTCACATTTCCGCCATCAGCAGACAGCTCCAGGACGAACCGGCCACCTGAACCACCCGCCGACGATCGTATACCACGGCGTCGCCGGACACCACACTCACTCCCCGGGATCACCAGCCAGCTGCCATACACTCACCCCCGAAGTCTGCACAGCATTCTCCGAAACTCGCCTCTCCCTCCCAGGACGGCAATCCCGCCCCCATCCCCCCGGCGCCAATCCCTTCGTCTCCAAGAAAAGGCCGCCAAAAAGGTCGAATACGACAGCCCTCTGGAGGAAGAAATCACCACCTCCAAGTACGTCCGGTCGCACATAGACCTCCTATCCGAAGATGCCTCCCCCATATCCCCGGTCTACATGCACGCCTCGTCCCCCGGCATTACGGCCGGAGAAATCACCAGGCTCCCCGACGTGGCGCTCGCCTTCACCGCCAACGAAATCCAAGACGGCGGCCAAACACCCGGCCCCGTTGAAGAAATGGGACGCCGAATGGCTGGACTCGCCGCATCCCCCGTCAGGCGGAAGCGTGAAAAGAAGCGCCGCTGGGTATGGACAATCGGCCAGGACGACGAGGACGACAGCATGGGCGGCGCCGTAGCTGCTTCGCGCGCTGAATCCGCACATAAAAAGGCCAGGGGGGAGGATGACGTGCCCCAGCTTACGTACGAGGAACTGCCTACCCCCAGCATTGAGAGCATCAGCTCGGTGGCCGGTTCGGACGCAGACGTCTCGGATACATGTAGTGTTGTGTCGGCGGACCACACTGCACGGCGCTGCCTCTCCGTGCCGTCTGACACCGAAGTAGAGGCCAAAACTCCTATCGCGCCGACGGGCGGGCAGAAGAAGAGGGATACGCCGATCCCCGAGTTGGCTGACAATGGCGATGGTTCCACTCGTTCCGTACTTGCGAATTGAGTCTTGAATAGGTCTTTGTGTTTTTTTTTTGGGAGGTGTTATATGCATGGATGGCAATGGCTGCATTACTCATGAGTTTATGAAGGGGCTGCATAGGTATCATAGCGGGCTAGCTATTTGGGTTTACATAGCCTTTTTTTTTTAAATCACAAGATTCCTCACGACCTTTTCATCTCGCTGCGTTTTTGAGCCATTGTGCGAAGCCCATGACTTGACCTGCACTAGATGTCCACGGCTAGTGTGCCATCTATTTTTATAGTAGACAGTACCCAATCCGAGAATCACCATCTTCAAGATCTGTCTGTTTATAAATATACGTACATCTTATGCACAGAATATGGTCTATTTGGTACTTTTAGCAGCTTGCTGTTGGTCGTAATACAGCTCCTCCGCCGACTTGATGCACTGCATATTGGCGCCGAGTTTGTTGATTGTCTCCATCCATTCGTCGTATTCATCCGAATCGAATACGATGCCGCCGCCTGAGAACAGTTAGTCTTGGGTATTGCATGGAAAAGGAGACGGACAGTCCAGAAAATGATTTTGGGGGGAGAAGGCACGTACCAGCTTGGAGATAGGCCACGCCGTCCTTGACCATCATTGTTCTCAACGCAATGCAGGTATCCATTGCGCCCTCTACCGTGTTCCCGTTCTCGTCCTCACTTCCGTATCCAAAGTAGCCCACCGCACCGGCGTAGACGCCCCGCTTCTCCTTCTCCAACTCAGCAATGAGTTCCATGGCGCGGACTTTGGGCGCGCCAGAGACGGTGCCTGCCGGGAAGACTGATCTAAACGCATCGAATCGCGTCTTGTCGGGTCTGAGGACGCCGGAAACCTGTGACACCAGGTGCTGGACGTGGCTGAACTTTTCGACCACCATGAGCCGGTCGACGCGGACCGTGAACGGGTCTCCGACGCGGTTGATGTCGTTGCGGGCAAGGTCGACCAGCATGACGTGTTCGGCGCGGTCCTTGAGCGAGCTGCTCAGTTCGTTTGCCAGGCGCTGGTCCTCCTCGAGTGTCTTGCCGCGCTTGACGGTGCCGGCAATGGGGTGTGTGATGATCCTACCGGCCTCTCTCTTGACCAGGAGCTCGGGGGAGGCGCCGACGATCTGAAAGTCCTTGCAGTTGACGTAGAACAGGTACGGCGACGGATTGACGGTCCGCAGGTGTCTGTAAATGTTGAAGGGGTGGAGGCTGGTAGGTCGGGCGAATCGCTGTGACGGCACGCACTGGAAGATGTCGCCCTTGACAATGTGCTCCTTTAGTTTGGTGACGTGTGCTTCGTAGCCCTTTTGGCCAATGTTGGAAGTGGCCTCCTGCCCCAGCTCTATCGGGCCTTGTTCGGGAAGCTCGATTTCGGGAGAGTTGAGCACATCGACTAGGTCGTCAATGGTGCGTTTGGCCGTTTCATAGGCAGCCTCTAGGCCAGTCTTGCCATCCTCCGGCACCGCAACGTAGCTAATGACCTTGATGATGCCGTAGAATCTATCAAACGCCACAATGGTATCAAAGAGCATAAACAGCGACTCGGGAATCTTGAGCACATCCTTCATGGGCCGTGCAGTCTTGGGCTCAAAGTATCGGACGCAGTCGTAGCCGACGTACCCAATGGCACCGCCAGTCAATGGCGGCAGCTGCAGACCCGGCACGTGGGCGACCACATGCTCGGCCAGTTCCTTCTCCAAGGCAGGCAGAGGGTCCGTTTCAGGCCCGTATCCGGGTCCGGTGGTGAGGATCCTGCGCGGGCCGGCGCCAACAAAGCTATACCGGCCTACTTGCTCTGTGGCGGCAGACTCGAATAGGAATGAGTGCTCGGACGAGGAGTGGGCTGAGATCTTGAGATATGCGGCAGACGGCGTGATGAGATCGGAGGAAATCTGGCGGTAAATGGGGATGAGAGTCGGCTTCTTACCAGGGCCAGCATGAGGCCTCTCGACGATGGACCGGACGGTGTCGAGCGTTGGGACGATGGCCCGCTGTTTGGGCAATTGAGTCAGCAACGAGTCCAATTCGTGATTTCTGTTGGCGGTACGTGGATGCTTGCATGATGCACTTACTGAGCCCGCCATGGTGAACTGCTGCTTCGTGCTGGAAGACGAAATGTTCAAATGCGTAGTGACTCACGATGCGGTCTTGAAGATGGCGTTGCGGCGTCGATCCCGTATCAACAAATCGCAATTCACTAGTCCAACGCTACCGTTTTGTAGGAAAGTGACAGGCCCCGACTGCGGGGCAAAAAGAGAGACAGGTGAGGGGCCCACTGCCTCCATCGACCAGGTGCGTCTGGTCTCTTTCTTTCATCATCCTGCGACTTCGGCCAATGACCAGTCAGATCCGAAAAATATCACGTGGGCCGCCAGCGAAGGGCAGTGTTGGAATCCTCAGGTCTTTTCAGAGAGAATACAAGGACAATTATGAGAGAAGCGGTACCCGAACATGTGGATGACTCTCCAGCTGACTGCGGGCATTCACCCAGCATGAGTGACGGTTATGGAGTCATGACTTTGCGTCTGTGGTCTTTGGTCACAGGGACGGGCCATGGTGCTGGATGAGACAGCGGGACAAGTTGGTTCATGGAGAGATTGACTGCATTGGGAGTTGGATACATACTATCTATTAACGAGGCCGTATTTACAATCAAGTTCAAAGACCCTAGTTCAAAGACCCTTTGTCTACTTAGTAGTTGGCGGTACTAAGGGCAAAGCTTGGACCAGTCGATTGCGCTTCCTTGCTCTGTGCAACCAACCACTTAAGGCAATGCCCCTTTCTAATTGCAATTGCAGATTGCTGAGTAAATACATACATGTACTTGCATTAAAACCCATGCCACCGCCATTCCAGCAATATTCTTTTATGCAGGTCCCGTCCAAGCAACCTAGCTCTCCACTCCCAGAGCCTTGACACCCACGATGCGTCCCTCTTCCCTCGACACAACCCAGTACTCTGTCCTGGTCTTATCCCTCACCACGCTATAGACCCTCACGTCATTGCCTTTGGTTGCCTCTCTGACGGCCTCGATCAACTTGGTGTACTGGCCTTGCGAGTCCCAATCAACCGGGTCCATAATGCTAACGTCGGCCTTGTCGGCGTCCCAGTGCTTAATGAGCTTGGCGAATTCGGCTGAAGCGAGCATTAGTACATGAATACTTTTCCAGCACCGAAATAATCAACAACTAAGCGAGTGAGGCAAGGGAAGGAAAAGGGACAAGCCGAACGCACTTTCATCGGGCAATCCATCGCCACTCCACTTCAGGGACACTTCCTCAAATGGCTCATCCGCATCAGTCACATACACCGCGTCCTGGCACGCATCTCTGATAACCCTGGGAGCTTGAGATCCTTCGTCCACAGCTTTGAAGGCGGCGCTGCTCTGCTCCTTCTGCTTCGCCGCAAGCGCTTTCCCGTCGTCAAGGTCCTGGTTTGCTTTGTCGAGAAACGCCATATAATCTTCGTCGTTGGCCATGCTAGCGCTGCCAGGCTCGACGCTGGCTATTTCGGGAAACGAGGCAGCTCGTGGGCGTGGGAAAGCCCCGGGAGGCGAGGGGAGAGGGCTTGTGATCAAGTTGAAAGTCCTGAGCTTGACGGAGACCTTGGACGACGTGGCTCCAAGCTTGGCGAAACTTCGGGATGGTATCGCCAATGGTGAGGAAGGCAGACGAAAATAGTACAGGCAAGGAGTTTGAAGCGACGGTGGCGGTTTATACATTCATGCGCGTGGAAGAGGGAAGCACAAAGGTCAAGATCATCGTGTATCTGCTATTTGAGTTTCATGGTCGACCTCGTTTTCGGCGTCAAACCAGAGAAGTGGGGGTGACGTCAGAAACTGGCAAGCGTAAGGCAATTCCGGCCAGCAATACCCACTCGCCCGTACCTGCCTTCGGATGAGGATTAGCATATCGTCACAGCCTGTGTGCGGCGGGACGTCTGGACAATTTCAATCTTCCAATGTATCATCCGTCATGGGTTGGTACGACATGACGTCGCTGACTCTACGGGCATCTCCATGTCGTTTCTGCGTGTTTCTGTGTAGCCCTCCTTTGACATAATCTTCAGCGTGCCAGTGTGGCGTGCCTACGCTCACGTCCTGCACTGAGTTGGCCTTGAACTTCGTGAAGACGAGCTCTTTAGAGGCAAAGTGGAAAGGCTGTTCGAGGCCGAGTGCTCCAGGAACACAAGTTGCTGTAATTGCATCCGGAACTGCTCACGAACAGACTCCAAGTGGGAAACCGCAATGGTGCAAAACGCTCCTCACTTGCGGTTCGTCGACATGCATGTCGCGATAGTCCGCGAGCCACTCCAGCCAGTAATGCGTCGCATAAGGCGGATGACGACGATTTCATAATATGCAGGTCTCGGCCCCAATCACCCATGCCTCAGTCAAGCCATGTCCGCCTTACTCGCGAGGATATCAGCATGTGAGTCGCCGACGCTCTTCATCCCACAATATAAACTACACGCCAAAAGGGCATCGTCCCGTTTCCGCAGCGCAAATCTACCGGCCTACCTAGCATGATGCTAAAAACGCGCCCATGGTGCAAAGGGTTGGCAAAATGGCGACATGCTCAATTCGCCCACGTTGCCAAGACGAATTTCATGCCATTTTAGCATTTAAGCAGTACGCCAAGCTTTTGGGGGCCCTGGGGACGAACAGCCACTTTGTACTATTGGCGCACTTCTCCGTTTTGCGGGAAATTTCATAGGAACGGCTGCTGTGCCTAGGATTTGTTTTTTTTTAAACGAGGGAAAGAGGAAAGGCTTGATAGTTCTGAAAAGGACATCTTGGCGATGGTGGACGACGAGTTTAAAAAGCGAGGGCTGCCTCCCGAATCTGAGGGCTTGCTTGCTGGTAGAGTTTTGATACTGCAATCCTGTTGGTGCTGATCATACCTTATTCTGAGTTTTTCAACAGAAATAATTATCGAGAACAATGTCGACTGAGAAACATGTCGACTCGGACGTTCAGGTGCAGGAGGATGGGGATGAGAGGCTGCCCGAGGTGAACTGGACGGCTGATGAGGAGACGAAAGCAAAGAGAAAGTAGGTATTGCCCGGTGTCAAACATGGACGGCTTGATGGCTTCTTTTCTGACATGGTATTCTTACACAGGCTAGATTTCATCATTATGCCAATCCTCACACTCGGCTTCTTCTGTCTGCGTAAGTTCATCTGTCGCACCACCAGTAACAAGCACAATCGATTCTAACCAGCCCAGAACTTGACCGTGGCAACATGGCCAATGCTATCACAGACAACTTCATGGCCGACGTCGGCATAGACCAGGACCAATTCAACGTCGGGCAGCAAATGCTTTCCCTCGGCATCGTTCTCACCGAGATCCCCTCCAACATGATCCTCTACCGCGTCGGTCCGGGCAAATGGCTCACGCTACAACTCTTCCTTTTCGGGATCGTGAGCACATTCCAAGCCTTTCAGCGCGGATACGGGGCCTTCATCGCCACGCGTTTCCTCCTGGGAATTACAGAGTCGGGTTTTATCCCCGGTGGTCTATGGACACTGTCCACGTGGTATACCCGTGATGAGACTGCCAAGCGAGTCATGATTTTCTATTTTGGAAACCAGATTGGCCAGGCGTCTGCAAAGCTGCTTGCCTACGGAATTCTGCATATGAGAGGTGTGGGTGGACAGCCGGGTTGGTTCTGGCTCTTCGCACTCATGGGAGCCTTCACGGTCCTTGGTGGGTTTGTCTATGGACTTTTCTTGCCTGATTCGTTCCAACGCCCTAGAAGTACATTTTTGCCGCAGGTCACCTGGTTTACAGAACGCGAGTTGTATATTTTGCAGACAAGGGTGTTGAGGGATGACCCGATGAAGGGCAAGAAGAAGAGGAAAATCGGGCTCGATGCTTTTAAGAGAACTGTAAGTTCGTCCATTGTCGTCTTTCTAAACCCATGGGTGTTGTTGTCTGTTGAAAGAAAGAAAAAAGCTAATGGCGTGTTCGTCCAGTTCATTGACTGGCGTGTCTGGGTGCACTTCCTCATCACACTCTGCAATAACGGTCCTCAGCGTGCCTTTGACACGTACGCTCCGTCTATTGTCACCAGCTTCGGGTTCGGCCGTCTCGTCAGCAACGCGTTGGCCGCCGTTGGTCTTTTCTTACAAGTGCCAGTGTCCTTTGCGTTTAGCTGGATCTCGGACCGCTTGTTAGTTCCATCCCCGGCATCCTACAGCGCCGCATTATTTACTGACGGCGGTAAATAGCAACCTTAGGGGTGAAACCGTTGTCGTGGGTATGTTTTGTCACCTGCTCGGATACGTATTCAACCGAATCTTCACGCGGGTACAGCTTCGAGGCGTGCGCTACTTTGGCGTGGTCTGGACGCAGACGTTTGGAACGTTTTCGCATCCGCTGAATATCGCGTGGTTGTCGCTTACTTGTAAGGATTCGGAGCAGAGGGCATTAGCTATGGCAGGGTGAGACCAATTCCTTTTCCGCTTTTGCCTTTCTATTGTTGTATTTGTATTTCGTAGGCCTTGTTCGGCTGTACTGGAGCTTTGGGAGTTATCGGCTAACCAATTGTCTTGGGATAGCGTCATCATGAACGCCAACATAGCAGGTATTTACGGCGCCCAGATCTTTCGCTCAGATGACAAGCCGCTTTATCAACGAGGCTTCACCGTCGCGATTGCGGTGCTGTCTGTTGGTCTCGTGCTTGCAGTTTCACGGTGGGCTGATGATTTCTTGCACCGCCGGCGCAAGGTTCGCGCGCTGGAATAAGAAGGCGGTCCGACGTATTTGAAACCGCGAAGGATGATTCATGTTTTGCGTTGGTCATACGTACTTAATAGACACTGCGGGCGTGACCAAAAATATGAATCAATTTGTGTCTTGGCCGCATCCTACGGCTTTTCAGCTAGTGTTCCTCTTCATATAAATGGCCTTGCCGTATTCGTGGTCATGTGCAAACAAGCCATGCCTTGTTTTTTCTTGATTCCCGGTGTGTGTTTATTTGTGTTGGTTTCAGTTGGGTCATCTGGCTCTTCCGGTGGAGGGCCTTGCCATTGTTTCTTGTTGGCCGTGACCGAGCAACGAAATTACAGGCGTCAAAGCTTTCGCTTAGGAAATAGCGAATGCAGATTTTTCCATCACTTGTCTCACAACGGCAACGTCAAATCCATTCAAACGGCGATTATTCGTGGCGAGGCACCTTGCCGCTATGCCGACAGTCAACGACAGCTACTAGTAGTATAACTACCTACGGAGTAGATGCTCGAGTGGAGAGCCGGCAGGACGATAGACGCCGTGGTTCGGCTCAATCGGTGGTGAATTCCCCGTTTCGGCAGCCGCGACCCCGCGACTTCCTCCTCAAAAGGCTCCACCGCCCACCCAACTTCCCCAACTTCCCCAGGCTCCGGTGGAAGCATCTCCCATCATGTCGATTCCCTCCATTCCTTTGTCTTGTGCCACACCACGTTTCGAGTTCCCATATCTACCCCGATACCGAGTTTATTACTGGACTAGTTGAGTTAGGTCTGTCCACGCTGCTGCGTTCCACGCCATGCAGTCATGATTGCCCCCTCATTGCCCACGAATCAAACTGAGGTCCGTCACATGTCTCCGCCGGAGACGCCAGATGGTGCCCATCGAGCTCGAGTCGTGCGAGCATGTGTTCGATGCAGGAAGCAGAAATTAAAGGTATCATTTCTTGCCTCCCCCCTTTTCCTTCTTGGAGGACTCAACTTTTCTGTTAGCAACGGATTAGCTAAAAGAAAATGTACGCTTCTGCAGTGCGACACGGCCAGGCCCTGTACACTATGCCGCCGCTCAGGCTTCCCTTGTGAGGCACGGGATGAGAATGGTTCCGCCAAAATCAAGAGGGCTGTCAGGAGAGCCAAAAGAGACCCGATCCCGCCAGATTCAGCTTCTCCCGAACAAAAGAAGCATAACCTTCCGCTCAATCCATCACGTGCAAGCCCGCCATTCCAATCCAATTCTCCAGGCCAGTCTCAGGGTCCCCATGGTAACTTGAGTGAGCGACAGCGGTTTGGTGCCAACAGCTCTGCGGTTGGTTTTGCTGCTCGTATGTTTGGTGACTCGGCGGGTTCCCATCCTAGCGATATCTCGAAAAGCATCCCTGGTTATGCCGGTCGGTCCAAAATGGGTTGTGCCGGGCCCCCTTGGTCCTTGGTGACGATGCAGTGTCCTTCGCCGGTGCTGCTCGAGGCACTGATAGATGTGTATTTTGATCGGATGCACTGGTTCACACTGGTTTTCCACGAACCGTCATTCAGACAAGCAGCAAAACATGTTCTTTCCAGGACCTCATGGCATCGGGACGAACTGGGCTTTGTCTTGGCTTGTCTAATGGTGTCTGCTGTTGGACTGAAGTGTGTCGTTCGGGACCCGTCATGGATAGGTCACGCGATGCTCGCAGAAGAGTCCTGGGATGCCGTGACGCTTCTCGAAGCACTCATCAAGGAAGTACGGTTCCACCTCTTGGATCTTCTCGACGACTGCTCCATCGAGACTGTGCAAGTCTGCAGCCTTCTGGGAACCTACTACGTCTTTCACGCATCCCCCACTTTAGCATGGAGCATCCTGGGCATGGCGGTCCGCACTGCGTATGCTCTTACGTTGCATTGCGATGGTGATGATGATAGCGCAACCGGAAAGGACTATGACCCCGTCGTCGCACAGGTACGCCGCCGAAACTGGAATCACATCCTCGTGGCAGATACGTTTGCTGCCATGATATACGGGCGCCCAGTTTCCCTCGACGCTGCCTTTTCCTACGTCCAGCCTCTTGATGACTTGGATGACTTGGTTTTGGGACCTGGTCTGTCCAAACACCCCCTTTTGACTGCCAATTCGCCAAGATCCGTCTCGTCTCGTCCAGTATCAAGACAGACGTTTCATGAGTTGAAATACTACCTGTACGACATTGTGCGGGAGGCACTAAATCGTTTCCGGCTCTTACGTCTGCAAAGCCCCATCTCGCCGGCAGAGTTGGTTTCTTTAGTAGAAGCAGTGCAACACGTTCGCTCCTTGTTGTATGCTTGGAAAGCAGATTTGCCGGCTGTCTTCGACACGAACCCGACCTCCCAGGAGGCCATCCTTGCAGATCTTGATAGCATACCGGACCTATCCCCCGAGGAGCAGAAATCCCGGCGGCACCTGTCTCTTCAAATCAATGCCTTGAATGTCACATATAACAGCGCCGTCATCTTCATCCATCGACCCCTTCTGGAATATCGGGTGGCAGCCGACTCACGCCAGGCCTTATCTAGCGAAACACTTCAGGTTGTCTCAGAGTCTCTGCAATTGTCCGTCAATGCAGCTCTAGAAATGTCTCGAGTGCCGGTTCCTCATCTCGAAAACCAGTTTGCAATGTCGTTTGTACTGATGAATTTCTTCACTGCTGGCGTCATTCTTTGCATTCCGCCTACCACTTGGCCGCTGAGCTCCATAGCCCACGAGGCCAAGGCGGGGACATTACGCATTATTCATGCTAGTCGAGCTTTGAAACCTGTTACCCCTATAGCGTCCCATACTGAGCAACTGCTCACAGGATTGTTAAGGCGTAGCCTGCAGCAGGAAGTAGACAGCGGTCTTCATCAAGAACATAATGTAAGAATTGAGTCGGATCGGCGCTATCCGGCGTCGATGGACCAAACCATGAGATATTCACAGCAGAATCACCTCCCCATTCAAAATGAAACCGAAGCCCGAAATGAACAGGCGAACCAAGTGCCGGTACAACAAGCGCCCCGGTTCTCACAGGCGGACCGACAAGGCCCAATATCAGGAGACCAAATGCGAATGGCCAATGTCTCGCTATTCCCACTTACACATAACGGAGAGATGGAGGATGCCAACGTGATGCATTCTGCAAGCACGATTTATGACGAGAACGGAAATTTGGTGATATCCAATAACGACCCCCGGCGGGGAGCAATAGACTATCATTACGCCGAACAACGCCACCAGGTAGACTCACAATTGGATGAAGTCTTTGGCATATTTGGACAGAGTAAGTAGACATCCTTTTTTTTTTGGCAGCTTTAGTGCTACTTGATAAACACGCTCTGTACCGGACCGTTATCTACCCAACACATCGCTGATTCTGAATCTCCTAGTGCTTTTCAACTTGGTGCCAAATGACCCGTACAGCGCTTGGAATTGGGGAAATGGTGGGTTCTGATATGAGTAGACATGGGTAGGCATGGTTTGGCAATGGCGTTTTAGACGGGATTTAGTAGCCACGCCGGATTTAATTAAACCCATTAGACAATTCACAATAATTTGTTCATATCTTGCCTGTCATAAAACGTTTTAGTCATTGGGAATCTCGTTTCGATTTTTCATACGTCTGTTTAGCTAGGCCTTTTACTGATTCATCCCATTATGAAACCAAACCCAGCTTCCAGCAAGGCTTTTTAAAAACCAACCCTTCGACACCGTTGCAAATGGCCGAGACATACACATAAGGAAGGAAAACACGACTATCCGCAGATTTATGCGGAGGCCAGATCCTTCTTGAGGGTACCCTGATACTGCTTCTTCTCTGCGGGGGTCTGGAAAGCACCGTGACCGAACTCGGAGGAGGTATCGATCCATTTGAGGTTGATCTTCTCGAGGGCACGGCGGGATGTGTGGGTGAACATGGACTTGCGGAGAGTCATGACACGCTTCTTGACACCAGGGATGGAGCCCTTGACCATGACGAAGTCGTTGTTGACCTCACCATAGCGAACGAAACCACCCAGACTAGAAGAGAAAATCTTGCATCAGTATAAAGCACGGGCAGCTAAATGATTTTGCCTCAAGGCGAAAGGCGGGGGGCTGGAACATACGGAGTAATCTTCTTCTTGGTCACGTCAATCTCGGTCGAGGCGCTGTCCTCGGCGTCACCCTTGCCAATGCGGTAAACCTTGTGGTTGACCGAGGTACGGTGGTGGTATCCCATCTGACCAGCACGGGCAACGGTCCACTGGACGTGGGAAGGATGCCAGGCACCGATACAAGCAACCTTTCGCAGACCCTTGTGCGTCTTTCGGGGAAGCTTCTTGGTGCCCCAACGGGCAGTAACGCCGTTGAAGCCGTGGCCCTTGGTGACGGCGATGACGTCGATCATCTCGTCCTGCTCAAAGATGGTGTCAATGGAGACGGGCTTCTCGAAGAGGTCCTGGCCAAAGGAGACCTTGTCGGCGACGCTGCCGCCGTTGATCTGGATCTCCATGAGGTGGGCCTTCTTCTGCTTGAGGGGCGTCTTGCGGATCTGGGTGTGGGCGAGGACTCGCACGACGGTGCAGTACTTCTTGATGCGCTCGAGCTCGCGGGTGATGCTGGCGCCGCTCGACTCGCTGTGCTTCTTGGCGTACTTGGTGAAGGCCTTCTTCTTGCTCTTGTACCAGTTCTTGTAGAAGCGGCGCTTGACCTCGTCGGACAAGTGCTCAGCCCACACGGTGGTGAGGGAGCGCAAGCCGCGGGGGGTTTCGATGTAACCAACGAGACCAACAACGATCATCTAGATGAGAAAAAGATGTTAGCCATAGGCTCAGATGCCAAGCGGGCTGAGTTGTTCGTACTGGTGGTGTATCGACGACCGTGACGGCCTCCACGACCTCCTTCTTGTTGGCCTTCGCGCCGGGTCGGTCGAGGTCACGAACGATCGTGGTCATGCCGGCCTTGTAGCCCATGGCGGCGGTCAGGTGCACGGGCTTCTTGGGGTCATCCTTGGGGAAGCTGTGGAATGCATAGGCAATTGGTTAGCAAGTCTCATTCTTTACTGAGTTTTGTGAAGCTGGTGATGCTCTTGCGGGCAAACCCGAAAATAAAAACTTACGACTTGACCTTGCCACGGTGACGGGCGGCACGCTTCCTGGGCAGGAAAGCCAGGGAGCCGTGGCGGGGAGCCTCGAACTTGCGGTGCTATTCATTTAAATAAATTAGCATTTGTCGATCGAATTAATCTTAAGATCTTGTCTTCTTTTCGTTGTCATGGCATCTTACACTCATTTTGGCGGGCTGGGTGTGGTTTGGGGTTAGTAAAGAAGTTGACGAGGCCTGCGTGACGAGAAGAAGACCAAAGAGTAGGAGGGTTTTTCTACAAAATTTGTGGGCGAAATTTTAAGCGAGGACCTGTGGGCAGACGTCGGGCCAGCGTGCGAGTTGTGGCTCGTGCAGGCACCGCTAATCCTATTGTGGCACCTGGGCTAAGTCTCCACCAGGGTTGTCTTCACCAAGGTCTTTGACAGAGCCAGAAAGCAAAAAATACAATGGTCTCACGTGATCATCTCACCTTGTCATCTGGCTGGACACGGTGCCGCCCTGTGGAGACGTGGCAGGCTAGACATTTCAAGGCATGCAATTGATTGTTTATAAAACTATCAATTTGATTCACTGTGCAGATACTACTACTTACTTGGAGAGGCTACTACTCATAGTACGGATATCGTTCGCTTACGACTTTTTCGTAGCCAAGAAAGAACCATGAAATCCCCGCTGCACCCGTCCACCATTTGCCATTCAAGCCCCAAGCATCCATCCCCCAAAGACAAAGGAAATTGAAAAAACAAGTCCGGGTAGTCCCCGGTGGTATACACTTCGCAAAAAAACATGAAATGGAACTGCCACATAACTTTCAGAGAGCTCATTAAAATACTCTTGAACCGCCCCCAGACAAAAACCAAAGGGGGAAAAAAATCACACTTTACTCCGTTTTAGTAGCGGCACCAGATGTGCCATTAACCCCTGCACTCGCCGGTGACGTGGCCTTAGCATCACTAGACCCTGACGAAGGGCCAGATCCATTGGCGACGATGCCAGTCTTCTTATCCTCTTCGGGGCTATCGTCGTAGTCTTCATCGACATCCATCTTTCTCGCGGCTCGCTCAGGTTCCGCAGATATTGGAGCAACAGCAGTAGGAGCTTGCTCTGAAGCTGGGCGTTCCTCCTTGGGGGGTGGGCCAGGCTGTGTCTTATCCTGAGGACCGCCGGGGGGGACGTTACCCGGCTGCATGGGTGGAAGCTGGTTTGAGCTGATGGAGTGGTTCTGGGGGTGGTGAGCAGCCTCAGAAGGATGGTAGCTGTCACTTTGAGGACGAGCCTCCTCTTTCTTAGGCTCGTCCGGGCGACGCTGTTCATCCGAGCGGCGGACTTCATTAGAATTGCGTCGATAGGCGTCACGGGGAGGGGTCGAGGGTCGCCGGTGTCTCATGTCGTCCAGACGAGCGCGATTCTCCTCGTTGGCTTGCTTCTTGGCAACGGACTCTTCCTCCCACTCACGCATGCGCTTGGGTCCGACAGACGGAGGGCGGTCGTCAGGACGCTGGACAGCGGCATCAGGACCAGCGCCGGGAGGGGGCGGGCCATTTTCAGAAGCACTTGGAGGGGGGCCCTCGGGATGGTGAGGAGCGTAGCTCGAAGCCCCCGGGTGCTGAGGGTAAGCCGTCTTGGGAGATGGCATCCGATTGTCGTGCGGTCTAACCTCGCCTCGGGGACTGCTGGTTGGTCTGAAAGGAGCGGCTCCGTTGGAGGGCGCATTGGCTCCGTTGGCACTATTTGATGGAGGGCCCACAGAGGACGGAGGAGGGCCTCCCCAATTGGGATTGGCAACTCGTCGATCAGCAGGATTTGGACCCTGCGATGGAGGAGGAGGAGGCTGCCCGTACTGATGGCCGCCAGGTGCTGGTGAAGGTCCGCGGCGGGATGGGCCCGGGGGAGCAGGACCCCGGGGCTCAGAATATCCTCCTTGTCGCATCTGCTGGTCCTGTTGAGGACTGGGCTGGCGTTGAGGCGGTGGGGGAGGCCCTCTAAAAGGCTCTCCTCGGTTCTCATATGGATTCGGGGGTTGTGGTGGTGGGTTGACATTGGAAAGTCTGCCAGCCCAGTTATCACCGGCGCCAGCAGGCGCTGGGGGAGGACCACCAGCGGGAGGCTGTTGCGCTGAGCCACCCCATTGTGGTCCAACTGGGCCGGACGGGCCGGCAGCTTGATACGCTTGAGGGTGCACATCTGCCGGTTGAGGTGCCGGAGCCTGCCCGCTGCCGTTGCCGCCGCCGGACCGGAGGAGCTGTAAGCGGGCCTTGATGTGTGGGTTGCCAGGGTCAAGCTCTGCGGCTCTTTGATAGGCGTCCAGAGCGTCGGCAATTTGGTTATTGCAAGATTCATACTGGACCCGGGTCAGCTACTATTTCCAATGGTGGCAGAGCAAGGGATAAATAAACCCATCAAAACATACCAGAGTGCCCAGGTCATACCAGACCTCCGAAATGTAAGGATTGAGGCGGATGGCACGGGAGTAGGCGTCGAGCGCATCGCGGTACTGATTGATCTGATAATACAAGACACCAATAGAGCACCAAAAAGTCGGGTTCTTTCCATCACGGTACACGGCCTGCTGGTACGCTTCGTAAGCCTTGGGATATTTCTGTTGGGCCATGTAGCAACGACCCAACAGATACCAGCTTTGGGCATCTTGATTATCTGGAATGTGATGTCAGGTTTACGTGAGCGCCGTATGTCATGAACACAATCTTACCGGCCGAGACGGACTTCTCCAGATACTGGATAGCCCGGTCTTGAGTCTCATACGAGGTGTTTTGCTGGTGATGTAGCCAACCAAGTTGCTGCAGAACCTTGGCGTGGTTGGGAGAGTGGTCGAGGACGCGCTGATAAGCCGCTTTAGCGCTGTCGAACTAGAAGCATGTTAGTAGCCGATCAGTCGGTGACTCGACGGGAGGAAACACAGCACATACGTCTTTTTGTTGCTCGTGAACGTGGCCAATCTGGAACCAAATGTCCTCCTGCGTCAAGGGGCCGGGAGGCGAATTGACAATGTACTTGAAGCACTATTGACAAACTGTGTTAGCTAACCGACAAATGGTGTCTTCACCACAATGCTTCGTCACATACATCAAGACTTTGATTGAATTTTGACTGCTGTTTGTATATGATACCAAGGCGAAAGTAAATTTCATTGGCCTTCTCAAAATCGGGTTGGATCTGCATAACCTGAGAAAAGGCCTCCTCGGCATAATCGTAGCTGCCGTAGCGATCATAAAGGATACCGATGCCATACCAAAGCATAGGGTCCTGCGTTACAGAATATTAGAACCGTTATTCCCGTTGTTGGGGCTGTACTCATGATCCCGCTAAAAAAAAAAACTAACCTTTGGATCCCGAAGGTTGACAAGGGCTTGCTGGTAAGCGTCATAGGCCTTTTGAAGGTTTTCCGTCATAAGGTAACAGTGGCCTATCCGCCTGTTAGCGCGATCCCAATAATTGCATCCAGCAATACACAAATGACGTACCTAGATTGCCCCAAGCTTCGCCATTGTTCTGTTCCAGCTGCACAATGGCGCGGAAGAACTCAAGGGCCTTGTCGAAGGCCTCGCGACCTTTGAGAAGCATGCCGATGGCATTCATGGCGGCCGTTGAGTTTGTGTTGGCCTGCAGGGCTCGCTCGTAGGCATGCATGGCCTCGTCCGGAACGCGCAGCAACTCTGAGACGCTCCCTGAGGTGATTGTCAACCTGTCTGGTTGCCACAAAGACGGGCGCGGCATCTCTCAAGAGGCGCAGGGGACAAACTTACCAATCTGCAGCCAGACTGCCTCGTTCATAGCAGCAATCTGATTCGACGGCGCAAAGTGACCCGGCGGGACGCTCTGAGGCGGTGCCACCGGGGCCTGGTGATGCTGCTGCTGCTGCTGCTGTTGCTGCAGCTGCATCATTGTGGGAGAAGGATGGTGGTTGGCCATGGCGACAAAATGTCAAAGATTGACGATGCCGGCTTGGCGCTATGCGGCGTCGTCCAAACCGCGCAAGGGTATAAAAAATACAACGACAATGGGCGAGCAGAAGAAGTCGGAGTCTCTCGCAAAAAGCCAAAGGAGGCTTTGTTGTGCGATGTGCGATGTGCGATGAGATGTCGGGGTGCAGGGCAAGATCAACTCCAAGACCCGTGGTCAAGTTCGGATGGGCAATGGGCACCTAGCGCATGGACTGGGTTGAGCCCACGTTTTTCGTCACGAGCTGGATCCCCAAACAACCCGTCTGGGTAAAAGGAACGGCGGCAGAGGACTCGGTGCCGCAGTGACTGACAAAAGAGATTGAGTGCGTCAGGGACGGTCTGGCCCGAGATGGCAAAGGGACTCGATGATGTCCTGGTCCAGCGAAGCCCGTATCCAGATTGAAGACGCTTTGGGGGAAGGAGGAGGAAAGGAAAACGGACAATTGGGGAGAGGCTGTTGGGTTGGTGGAGGAAGGACCTGCACAGCTGGCTGTCAAACTTACCTTACCCATGAAAATGGGAGGGAACGGGCGCACTGGCGCTAGACCCACGCCGGCGTGCCGTGGCGAAGCGAGCGGGGCCACCCTTGCACTCTGCATCTGGTTTGCGGCGGGTTAGCGTGGGCACATACATACATAATGGAAGCATTAATACTAGTACTAGCAGTATGTACCATTTGTACCAAGGACGTGGAGAGGCAGGCAGACCTAGGGGACGGCACCTGGGATGGGCTGGGGCGAGCCGGCCAGCGACACTTCAGGGCGACGAGCTACGGGCTTCGGGCTGCGGGCCACGGGCCATGGTTTCCGGCTAATACATTAGGTACCTACTACTCCGTACCTAGTAGTACCTAGCATACCTGCGAACACATCGAGCACGCCAGAGCGTCAACGTGCCTGGGCATTCAAAGCGCTTCAACCTAAGTACGTACCAGGCATCTCTAGAACCGCGTACCTGGGCTGCCTCGTGCATCGAGCGCATCAAGTGCATCGAGCGCTCGAGTGTGGCTGTAAATACTGAGCAGCTCTGCCTGGGTATTCCGTACATCACCAGCGGCTGCAAGCCAAGGCCGCACGTCGTGCACCAGACATTGTATCAGCACCCAGAGCACAGCATGGAGCACGCAGCACGCAGCACATACTGACGTTGAAGCAGAGCCCACGCCGCATATACTGCATGCCGCATGCCGCACGCCTCTCGCAGCCCGCACGCCTCCCACTGCAC